GCCCACTACAGGCGCAAAAAACACAAGCACCCCCGGGGCTGTCCAGCACCGACAGTCAAATGGCGCCGACATTCCTCCCAATCAAAATCAGTGCTGGTACGCGCGTGCTGCCGAGAAGGTGCAACCACCGGATTCTTCCGGTCATCTCGATGTCATCCATTTCGACAAAAACCCTCCAGAGCTGTCCTGCCAAAACTCTCAACTCTTTTCGCGCACTGAAAGAAGCAACCGGGAAAAGCTTTACAGAAGTGCTGCTTTGTTGTGTGATTCGCAACGGAACGGAAAGCTTATAGTTTATCATTTGGCGTTGGAATATTATCTTTAGTCACGCGACTCCCGAAACTTTTCTGACAAACAAGTCATATAGGTTCAGTGTACACCGCCTCTCTCCCAAAGTCAGCTGCAGTCGGCTCCACTTGCAATCCTAACAGGGTTAAGTGGGATCAAAAAAGCGACGGATAATTGGCCCTTCTTTTGTGCCACCGCTCAATCCATCCACCGTGCCCGATATTCAGCTCAAGCAGCATAACCACCAAGAATGAGCCGTGAAACCCCAATCGGGCCACCAACACTTAATGAGTCATCTTGAAAGACCACAATAAAATCTTTACTTTCTGGTCCGCCCAGTTCTCATAACACGTAGCAAAATGCAGACCAGCTGTGTGAAGGACAACGCCGGTCTGCTCCAGTTCGTATCCACTCAGCACATTTTCCATCTTATTCCACACCACACCCTTGAGTCGCTGCTCTCTGGCGTAGGTACTCTGCCTTGTTAGCGGCAAACAACGCGCTATCCTCGATTCATCTTCGCCAAAGCAGATGAAAATAATGAGAAACACATGCTCGGCGCTGGCTGTTATCAATTTGGCAAGTGCTTCATAAGTCAGTCTTGCGCTGCTTCCACCTTCCCCGTTGAAACTCACCGGGAGACTTGCGTCAGCAGACTCCCACGGGACATGTTTGTCCCTGTTCCCCGGTGCTCCGAAGACCCGGAACAAGAGATCTGCTTGTTGTTAGCGGGAACTTTACAAGCCAGCAAAGAGCTGGAAAGCCGATAGCCAGCTGTGAATGCACTCACGGCCTTGAGAATTGGCTCCGGTGCAGCGGAGCCGTGGAAGACACTTTGGGTGGAGCTCCAAACCCGAGACATCCGCAATACATCAAAACCGTCGAGTACATTCTGTCCTGTTCAACGTACACACACGCTGGTAAAGGTCAGTCGACAAAGGTTTTCTCCCACAGCTTGGAGCACTGTCGCTTAAACAAAGAGGCGCATTTTTTTTTTTAGCTTCTCTTTGACTCACGCAAACATGTGTTTACTGTTTATGACAGTTCTATTGAAGTGTTAATTATTGTTTGAATAAAATCCTCGCACATTAAAACATTGCCCTCAGTATTCGGAGCCTCCCTACTCAAGCGCAGGCGCTCCTCTGGCACAAAATGCAAAGTATTCGTTTTGTTGGGGCCATACTGGAAGCAGGATTGCGGCCTCTGTTTTATTGGTTGCACTTTTATTTCATCCAGGTTGGCAAGTGTATATTTTTCTTCTTATTTGGATGTATTCGACGCGTCCTGAATGTGCAGTATTTCAATCGGCAGCTCTCCAAATAATATGCATTGTTTTTGCTCCCAGTTGTTTGTCATAAAGGTTCTTTCCAAGTATTCGAATGTATTATGAGCCTCCCACCTCATGAGTTTTTCAAGTTCCAGCTCAGTTTTTCGTCTTCGTGTTTTCTACCGAGCATTACATACGCCCGGATGAATTTAGTATCACCTTCCCTTGTTATCTGTAAGATTATTGAACTGTGTTTATTTTTACACGTCATACCATTTGCTGCGTCATTTGTTAGTGTTTAGCTCAAACGTTAATTTGAAGGGTTGCTTTGGACTTATTATCGTTTCGATGAGATTTAATGACGTAGATTTAGACTTGTACAAACACGCTACTAAGTGTAATATAAATTATTCTAAATTCTGAAAGAAACTAAGAATTGAACCTTGAACAATGACATGAAATGTGAGTGCCGTGGGCACACTGGATGACAAACTTTGAAACTGTAAAGTTCGGCATTGCATAGGGAGTCTTTGATGGTGTGTCAGCTTACATGACATAACTTCAGGTCAATGAATAAAACTCGTTCATATGGTTTCTTTCTTTATTTTCCTATCACCCCTGGCAGAGGGTGGTGCTCCTTTTTGAATAGCAGTTAGCCACAGGAAAATAAAGATTCCCCGAGGATGCCAAAATCACCCGAACTAGCAGTGTGCGTCAGACGTCACTGCATAGGTTCAAATGATATGAGAAGTGATTTATGATTTGATTATTTATTGGATGAAATGGCAACATGGATGGAGGTAGATGCGCTTCCAATAAAAACAATGGCAAATTTCACTCAGCCCTGATGTATGCACAGAAATATCGCCACTTCATTGTTAGAGCTGTCTTCCCGTCAGGGTTTGAATAAGGTACCGGTAACCGTTATGTAATATCTGATATCCCTTTTGGGGAACGGGAACCGCAATGAGAGAAAACTGCCAGGACTGCACGTACCGTTTTTGGCCCGTGAATATGTCTATGCAGCTAGAAATGTGTCGACTTCTTCAATCTGCTGAATGATTTATCAGCCTTGTACATTTTTTTTGTATTGTATTGGTTTCCTTTATGCCTCATCACGTTCAGCTATACATCTTGGACGACTTGTGTGTCCCATTGAAGCCAATGGAAACATATAATTATATTAAATGATATTTATTATATTAAATATTAAACATATTTTTCTTCTCCAATGAGCATCGGTGAACCGTGTCGTCAACTTTTGCAATTTTTGCAGCCCCTGTAGCGCCGATGTCTTCAAAAAAAGCAACGCCACATGGACGTTTTCTCGCAAAGAAGTGCATCGAGTCAAAAAATAAATAAATAAATAAATAGGAGGGTGAGTGATCATATCTTTCGCATCCTCTTCACACGAACAATTTCAGAGTTAAAAACTGAGATGATACTGAAAAAGTTCAGCATGTTTTTTTTCAAAGCTGTAGATCATATCCTACATTTTAATTTCATGTCAATGGCATTGTATTTATTTCTTTATTTATTTAGCTAGCTAGCGTTTATGCTAGTGTGTGTTTGCACTGTATATTGTCTTCATTTTCTCCGCCCTGCTCTTCTAGTAAATGGCCTGACTGCAGGGAAAAAAAATATATACAGTATATATATTTTAATTTTGGGGTGTTTAAAAATGCAAACATTTCCAGATGTGTCTTTCGCTATTGCTATTCCACCACACTGAACTCGACCCACCGCTGTTTGTGAGTCGTTTCCACTTCAAAATAGTACCAAGAGAAAAAAATGGCCACATCAACTGGCGCGAGACATGCGAAATCATGGAGGAGAATGAGGCTCTCCTTTATTTCATCGCAAATTCAAATTCGAGAGGAGACTAAGGGCAGTAAGAAAATTCATGACTGCAGCTAAGTGGGCTGTTTTACTGATCAAAGTCTTGATTTGCTTGCAAAAGTTGGCATTCCATCAGTACTGACGGAAGGTCCATCAGTCCGTCAGTAGTAGTTCCAGTGTTTGATTTCTGCAGGGCTTTATGAATGGGAAACATTTCAATAACCTAACACGCAAGAACTGATGCAACTGAGAACTTTGCTGAGCTGTGAATCCAAAACAGAAAAAAAAAAGCTGTAACAAGAGAAAGGGGATGACATCAGTGATTTAAGTCCTTTCCGAATACAAGGGGGAGTAGCAATCATCACGTGGAGACCTCAAGTGTATTATTTCTTTTTTTTTTTTTGTGTCCACTTTGCTCATCTTATGCAAGTTTCCCTTTTCAATCTCCAGAGAAGTGAGGGAATCCAAGACTGGAGCATGTTGGAACTGTAAGACTGTACAATGGAGGCCCACCACGCTGTCATCTCAGCGGACAGACGGGGAAGTCAGGGATGGCGACCGAAAACAGTTTAGCGTATCACAGCTGTGATAACTCAACTGGGCTGTAACAAATGACTTATTTGGTCATTTGGGGCGCAGGGCTCTTGCTGAGAGCAGCATCTGCGCCGTGTTGCTCCACTCCCGGATTTTTCACAGACAAACTGAGTGGCTGGGAAAACGTGAAGTGGAGCCACACAACCTCTGCTGCGCGCCACTCGCAAAACGATGCCACGTCTCATTAAACATCAACTCGATTCAAAAATGTAGTCTCCAAAAATAAGTTTTCAAACGTTGCCTTTCCTTGTCGATATACATCCAGCGTCCAGGGGTGCCGATGGCCTTCTGTCTGAGATGGATGTCGTTTCTCGTGTTCTGATGACATTTCCAAAAGAGTCCTTGATGGGCGGGGATTGCAAATTGTAGATTTTTCTGTTTCACATGCGACTGGTGTGTTGCAGTGCAAAATCTGTTTTGCTGCCCAGTGAATTTTTTCCCCTATCAGTTCCCACCTTTGCACGCCGCAGATTTGTGAAAATGAGGAAAGGCACCTGGAGATACAAGCGTTTTGTGTTACGAGTGTGATCAGAAAACAAATGATTCCAGTTTCTTAAGGCATATATATACTGACAAATAATTCACTTTTTTACACAAAATACAACTTAAAATAATACTTGAGGAACACAAAAGAAGAGCAGGCCCATCAAAAACGAGATTGAAAAGCTTCATATAACTGATGTGGAGACCGATGCTATCTTCCCCTCACTAGCCTCTTATAAGGCTAAACTACTCTTAAATCACTCTCCATTTTATTGTTCAATTTGTTTCTTTTTCTCCATAAACCTGAATCACTGTTGTAATTGCGTGAATCCGATTAGCCCACACGACCGCATGCATTGTCTACGTGCCGGCTGTCGAGAACAAGCCAAGCCGAGACTCCCATTCAGCCAAGATGGAGAAGTGGGGGGGGGTTCCAGAGAATGTGCCAAAGAGGAGCCCCAATAGAGCCACGCATGATGATGGGCTGATGGTAAGGGGAGTGGTCTCGATCCTACAAGGCTTCAATAAAAGCCACTTGTGTGGACCTTTGAGGAGCCCGCACTTTCCAGTAGCATCAAAGGCATCTGCTGCACCGAAAGACAGAGGCTACAGCAATCCATTTTTTTTTTAAAGAAAGAAAAAAAAGAATAGAGAAAAAATTGTGGAAAAAAAACTTTAAAAAATCGTTTTAATTCAAATTACAACCTAAGAGGGCCTCTTGTGTAGAAAAAAAAAGACAAAATGATAAGTTTGCTGTGCATCACAATATTCTCCTTGACCCTGGCTGGCAGTGCGTACAGTCAGCGGACAGGCTCTGCCACACTGTATTCAGGTAAGATTCCAATTTTTATTCTGTTCAAAATGATGACTTTTGTTATTTTAAATTCTGAGTGAATGAGCCATGTAATGAGAAAACTGCTTCCACGCTGCAGGAGGGTCACAGGAGGTTTCCGGGGTAGTAACACACAAGAGACATTGGCTCATTGGCTTTCTGCCAGCAGACCACCGCGTTTTGCAATGATTCGGGAATAAATCGCCATTGTGGCCAGCGCTCACAAAGTCGGACAGAACGCGATGAGGTTGCTCTGTGCAACTGTCTGACAGGGGCCAGTGTGTCTTCTGGAAGTTCTTCATTAGGCAGTCTGCTTTTTTTTTTTTTTTTTTTTTTTGTCGGTCAGTCACTTGGTTTGCTATTTGGATCATTCATTCGTTCTTTAGGCAAGCATTTGGACCATCTATTGGTCAACTCTAAAATTTAGAATCACATTGGTTGTTTGTTAGAGGCAATAAAATTATAGAGGTGTATTTTGATGCCAAATAGCACCAAAATCTTCTTCTTCTTCTTCTCCTTTCGGCACGTCCCTATTCAGGGGTCGCCACAGCGAGTCAGTAATTTCCATCCGCCCCTGCAAACCGTCCTACCAACTCGCATGGTCGTCTTGGCAAAAGTTTTACGCCGGATGCCATTCCTGACGCAACCCTCCCCATTTCTCCGGGCTTGGGACCGGCACTGGGGAACAGTGCACCCCCAGGGGAGGGCACTGCCCCCCAGCGGCTGGGTTTCCAATAGCACCAAAATATATGTTTAAAAACATCCTTAAATATTGTGTACTGCAAGAGGGAGACAAATACCACACACACGCACACACAAACACACAAACAAAATATATGTATTATATTGATGTCGCGAGTTGATTGAATGCACTTTCAGCATCGCCTGCATGCTCATTGCTGACTCAGATGTCGCAGGCTGGATAGCCAGCCAACTTTGTGCTATTCAGAGTTGTCTGTGGGAGGGACAACGCTGGGAAGTGGTGAAACTTATTTTTTTTTTTCAAATGTTGGATTTGTTCCCACAACAACCAGTGAAGTGTGTGCGAGCGCAGGAGGGGGGGATGGGCTGCACTATGAGAAAGCACTTGTTTGATGAGACTAAGCTTCAGCACCAGGAAAACGACAATAGTCTTTTACTTCTTTCTGATTTTCAAAGGAAATATTAAAATGTACGTTTGCTCATTTTACAGCAATGTCAGAAACCATGCGCAAATTATTATTCGCCGTGAGCGTTTTTGCTAGCAGTCGCAGAGAACAGAAATTTTCATTTTCCTACATGACACATATTCGTTTGCATGGGGCCTTGTGGCTTCATGCCAGTGGGAAAAAAAGAACCAAGACTCAAACTGTACTGTCAGGATTTATTTCTAAACAAACTGGGCAATTTAATCACTGTTCTTTTTTTAGATCAAAAAAGAAAAACTGCTCCATCTTGTGAGTCACTCCTGTTCGCACTCATGTAGCGCCTCCAGTGCAGTGCAGCACAATACAAGTAGCGTTTTATGAAACCTATATCGGTGCATTGTCTACCTGCTCACAGGGTGCCGCCTGTCCTTCCATTTAGTGACTCACTCCCACACTCAAAGCATTTTTGGCACACTGACACAGTAACGGGCATCCTGACAGGAGCCGAGTTACGATCGACGACCAACGGCCAAATGTATAGAACCACATACTGAACGGCAGCCAAATAAGACTTTTCCCTGGAAGTCTGTTAAACGTGATTCCAGCTGCGGGTGCTGCTCGTTGGGGAAAGAGCTCCCTCGGAAATGGCCTCAATCCAAATCCAGGCCTCAAGTCGTGTTTAGGTTACCATATCAGACAGTGATGATGCACGGTTGCGTTAACTTATCTGCTCATGAATTGTGAGGTAAATCTGACGTGACAGGTCGGTGTGCAGGGATTTGCTTATCCTGTCAAGTACGCACCCACCCCGTGCCACTGTGCTATACCCGCTTTCTATATTTGTGCTCATTATTCATTACAGAGCGCGTGAACAGTATTGTAATTAGTGAGGAGGTTTCGACGTGCTTTGTTTGCGCCAGCTAGGCTTGTTAATTATCCTGCCATATTGACACAAACAGGCCAGCACCAAAGGAGCGAAAAGTTCTGAGGTGGAGTGTTGAAGCATCATCTGAAAGAATAAGTTACAAATGCGCCGTCTTCCATCGATCACGTCTATACATTTTTTTCTTGTACATTGGAAGAATGCTCAATCAACAATCATTACAAATGAATGAAGGAAACACACTGCATTTTATTGTTTATCGAATGAATCACTTTTAAAAAATGAGACAAATTACAATTACAAATTCTCTGGCCTAATTGTGTGACCGACAATCACATCTGGAGAGTCAATTTTGACGTAATGGCGTCTGTTCCAGGATATTTTAAAAGCTGGTTAGTCAATCGGAATCCCTTAGGTTTTAAGCACACCTCATGAAATGGGAACTCATGCAGAGTATTTATGAGCCCTGGTAAAGATTTGCGTCATTCCTTACAACATAGAACCAAAAAAAAAAAAAAAAACCACTCAAAAGATGCTTGGTTGGAGTTGCTGTTTCTTAAAGCCGTTCTAATACTTGACGTTGTGTTGACTAGTCGCGTTGGACATAAATTGAGTTTGGTGAATCGTGTTCTGGTTTAATTTGAGCCAGACTGAATCTGGAAGCAGTACGCATGCATGACAGCTCAATATTAACAATGTAACAGCCACTGAATAAAGTCCAGCTATTTCTACTTGTGTGGTCAGTATTCGGCACTGGGCTCCTTGGATACTCTTCCAGTGTTAAACATTTAAGTGTTAATGTGCATTAGGGCAGATTATCTGGAAATGGGTTCAAGCAGGTGACTCCATTTATTCCTTGTATGCCAAGTGATGAAAAAGTCCAGGGACAGAATATTTCAGGCCTCCTGATTTTTTTTCAATGTCAATCAATTGAAGTACCTGTAAAGTTAAAAAAAAAAAACTTGCTAATAAACCTCCAATATGCTAGTCCCTAAAAAGGGGGAGGGGGGGTGGATGGGTAAGAGACCCCCCCCCCCAAAAGTATATAAGTAAGTAAGTAATAAAAAGTATAAGTAAGTAATAAGTATAGAATCTAAAAGTGTCCGTATGCATTCGGGCAGATTACCTTCTAAATGGTCCCAAGGATACTCGTGGCGCCAGATGCTCCCAGTTTGCCCAGTCGAGGAAATATGTTTATGCTGAACTACATCCAGTAGTCCGAGCAAAGTTCCAACTCAGTCATTTCCTTCAGAAATCTAGGACACACTGTTTCAGACCAGCTCACAGCAGTTCCTGACTCCAATTACCGGACTGGTTCAAGGGCTGTACCTGTGGAGACAGGGGTCAAGGGGTTGTGTACATCTGTCCATCTGGGGCCTATTATTGCCTAGAGTGGGGCACTGCTGTTTTGCTGCTTCAGGCCCACTTATCCAAGCCCTGCGAGGTCAAAAAAAGGGTGATTACAGAGGTTGTGGGAACCCATGTCGCAAAATAAATGAGCTACCATTTTGGAGGGTGTGCTGCTTGTAGTAAAGGAATACGATATGTATTTTGTCGACGTGTTGTGTGTGTTAGAAGCTTTGTTTATATCTGTTTTAACTCAAGATTTGGTAGAAGCATTAGAGGACAAACTGAACATTTCTAACAACGTTCAACCATCCCCATGCTCCTTTCTAGTTAAGGTGATGGCCGACCTTGGAGCCAACGTTACTTTGCCCTGCCGTCTCCCGCAAGAAAGCAGCAGCTTTTTTAGCATCGGCATCCGAGTCAAATGGACCAAGGTAGCGGAGGATGAGGCTCTGAATGAGGACGTGCTGCTTTCCATGGGCTTCCACAAGAAAACGTACGGAAGCTTCGAGGATCGCGTCTACCTGCAGGAGCGCGACAGCGACGACGCCTCCTTGGTGATCACGGACGTTTCCATGGATGACGCCGGAACGTACCGTTGCGAGATCATCAACGGCATGGTAGACACCATCCAAGAAATTGGCTTGGAGGTTCAAAGTGGCCTCCGTGATGGTAAACTGATTTAGATCTCCATCCTGTTTGGGTTTTTTGGGTCATACGCTTGTGTTTCTATTGAACATGTTCGTATCTTTTTTTAATCTGGTAGGGAAAAAAAGTGTATTCAAACTATACTGTAAATAATCTGCACCTCACAGAAACGTCAATGTCAGGTGACGCCATTTCATCTTATTATTACAATTGCATCTGCTAAATGGCGACATGACTGAGAACGACATTATTTTAGCAGAACTCCGTAGAACAAGTTTAACTGAGCACATGCTTTAGCTTTTTACATTTCGACCATCGCAATGTTCTCCATAAATGAGTAGCTCCAACCCACCCTTAGATAATGGTTTTTGAATAAACCATCGCACCAAACGCAGTCATCAAAGTAACGACAATAATTTTAAGTCCATCCAGGAGCTGGAGCCGATCTCAACTGACTTTGAGAAAAAGCTGACTGGTCACCAATAACCAGTCAGTAGCAGGGCACATACGAACTGTATAGACACAACCGACCATTAACTCTCACATGCACACCGTCACTGGAAGCAAGCCACGTTGCCTGCATCAAAGTCAGGCAAATGTAGCGCTGTCACGCCATCAGTACCCTGCAGCAGTCCTTTGTCGTTACAACTGTATTTCTCAAGTCTATGTTGTACTGACAGAAATGGAGGACATTTGTGCGCAATAGTTTGAAGGGTATCTCCTCTCCCACAGGTGTGGTGTTCCCCTACTCACCACCTCTTGGCCGCTACAGCTTTTCCTTCCACGAGGCTTTGCAGGCTTGTTTGGATCAGGACGCGGTGGTCGCCTCCTATGACCAACTGTTTGAAGCCTGGAAGGGCGGCATGGACTGGTGCAACGCCGGCTGGCTGGACGATGGCACCGTGCAGTACCCCATCACAAAGCCGAGAGAACCCTGCGGTGGTGCCAACAACCGACCCGGCCTCAGAAACTACGGCAGGCGTGACAAGTACATGAGTCGCTTTGATGCCTTCTGCTTTTCCACTCCATTGAATGGTGAGTATTGAGGCGACCATTTTTTTTTATTTTTGACCTGGCAAGTAAACATTAATTGGATCCAGATTTCAAGCAAGGTAGTCCAGAGAGCAACGTAAAATTTACTGTCAACAGATGCTCTCGTTAGTTGACATCGAGCTGTCTCTGTAATTTGTAACATGACAGTTACGATATTCACTTCAATTTATCAGACTGAAATTTTGTTTCCGATCAAATGTCCTGATTCGTCTACTCCACGCAGGACATTTCTACTGGCTGACACAGCCTGAAAAGCTCAACTTCGATGAGGCCGTCCAGGCTTGCTTCGATGACGGCGCAGAAATTGCCAAGGTGGGTCACATGTTCTCCGCTTGGAAGCTGGAAGGCTACGATCGTTGCGACGCCGGCTGGTTGGCCGACGGCAGCGGGCGCCTCCTTGGATCTTGACTAAAATGAACATTGGAACACACAAGCAACCGTGGTTACCTTTCAGAACCGTTTTAGAGGACATTATCATATCATCTACAGTAGAATACAATATGCAATGTATCAAAATCACAGATTTGACGGCGACAAGGAGTTGATTGTTTTTTCTCCACTGAGTAATTCTGGAAAGCTCAAGGTTTAGCGCTGCTATGATTATAGCGCTAACATTGAAACCGTTAGTGTTTTTGTTTGTTTTTTTGTTTGTTTTTAATAAAACATAAAACTTTGCAATATATTCATCAAATGTCACCTTGCACGTTTACTAAAACTTAGCTGCAACGTTTGGTGTGCAGTTTACATGTTACATTGCATCGTCATTGCCGAACATTTTGTTTCATTTCAACCAGATGGTGCGGTTTGCACACTTTTTATTTCACAGGGAAAAATGAATGTAAACAACTTTGACTGTGATTTCTTCCGAATAAGAGAGTTCCAATCAAATCAGCTTCCGTAACGATTTAATTTTGTTTTACTTTTTTCCTTTTTTTTTTTTTTTTACAATTCTGACTGACTTTTGTTACAAAGCTATTTTTAAAACAATAATGAAAAATAAAACAGCTGTTATTTTACGTTGTGGAATTTTTCTTCCCAAAAATCAATTTTTGGAGGTTTTAAAACTTAAACAGGCAATTTAGAGTCCACTTCCCTGAGAAGATTCAAAAGCAAGCTCACCCCCAACGCACGTATTTATTCTTTGGCTTATTTTAATTTGCACAAGACTGGCTGGGAAGCCCCTCAAGTTAGACAAAAGGAACCGTCGTCTGAAAGGCAGTCTGTTGCAAAGCATGGGAATGGGGTCATGTTTAGCTTGCTCCTGCAGTGAAATGCCAGCAAAATATAAATGCCTTGGTGAAATGTCTATGGATGCAGGGTCAACATAACACACAGACAAAAACAGGATTTCACCAAATAAACTTACTTAAATTTTATTTTAAAAAATGTGATGGGGCACTAACCAGCATGTTGCATACAAAAAATAATTATGGGGACAGTAGTCAACACATTTTCTTTTGGGTCTACATTAATACCCTTCTTTAGTGGCACCACAACACAAAAAAGCCAAAGAAAAAGCACCCCCCACAAAAACAAAGTCGGTCTACAAGAGCCAAACAGTCATTCAATCATCTCACTTGAAATATTTGGTTGTTGGACTGTTAGTCATTCAGTAACGGAATGGAAAACCTCGCCCCACTCACGAGCGAATCAAAGGATTGATCAACAGCGCTACCTGCTGGTTGAGGTACAAAACGTCCTCGGGGGAAGGGCCACACTTCCTCACTTTTACCTAATCAAATGAAATGATACGAGTACAGCATATTGATATATTCATTTTTATTTCTTTGGTGAGTTAAAGAGAGAGGTGAACAGGTGGACCTCTTTTTTAAGAAAAAAAAACAAAAAACGTCCCAGACATTCACAGTGTGACACAAGTTATAAATATAAAAGGATATTATGTGCACATTAAGGCTGAGACACTCACAAGGACATTCACAGACAAAACAAAATCACGTTTCCATTAAAAAAAAAAAAAACATTTTGTCAATTATTACATGTTTGGTACAGGTAAGTAAAACAAAAGCATTTCAGGAAATCAGGAGCATATGGGAAATAAATTACATGCATGTCTGCTTGCTTAAACAGGTGGTCTGTTCAAGTCTTTCGGAGAGTCTCACAAAATACATTCTCTCAATAACCGGCAAGGTGTAGCTCAGAAGCAGCAGATGACAGCAAAGTTCGGTGGTGTATACATTGAAACAGCGTGATGCTTATTGTAAACATGTCGTAGCAAGATGTTGTGCACATCAAATGCATTCATTTTTGCTACGCCTTTTATAGAAAGCCATTGGTGTATCGATGTCCATTGGTCGATGGCTTTAATGATGTGCAATATCTCTATCTAGCACGCATGGACCATACTTTCAAAATAAAATAGCATTTATTCTCTACATAGAAATATGTTTTGCAAAAAAAAAAATGTCCCAGGCAAAACATCAAGGTTGGAATTTAGGTTGGTACCTTTGAAAGCTGCCTTTAAAATGATTCAACTGGTCGACAGTTATACGACGGCAACGCCAACTGCTTTGTGCGATTAATCACCACTGGTACTCGCAACTACGCTCTGAAATGTCGTTGTCGAAGCGCATAGCAGCAAACAAAATGCTTTCAAATAACGTAAGCGCTATAAATTCACACCGTTTTCGTAGGGACCACTTATGGCGGTTTTCAAAAGCTAAGGTGGAATTGAGTAACAGTCATGTTAGAATGTAATGGCATTGTTATATTGTTTTTGACGACCTAAAATAAAAAAAAGTGTCTTGTTTTTTTTTTTTTTTTTTTTTTGCATTTCCAGTAGCCAGTTGAAAATATATCTCCACGCAGGCCATGTTAAAAATCAGTGTCTCTCGTTGGAAAAAATCATTTTCTTTAAAAGGCACTCCCTAAGATTCCATTGTCATCCCCAATGCAGGTCCTCTAGGTTGTTTGTATTCCCTTGTGCTTGTTCCATTTTTTTTTTTTTTTGGCGCACAAATAATTGATCTGTCCTCGATCCACATTGGTCATCACATCCTCTTCCGTTTGTTTTCCGGCTTATCTCTCCGTCCCCTGTAACGCTGATGGTGGAGACGGAAGGCCTGCTGATCCGGCCATTGCCTGAAGTGGGTGATGCTGTACACCCTTGTGTGGTGATGTTTCCTAAAGAAGTTTCTTTGATAGTTGGATGCTGCAATGAAAAAAAAAAGTGAAAAGTTAGCTCGAGAACCTTTACACAACCAATACAAATGAATCCTTTTGCTTTGCTTACGGTTCATGCAGGTGATTTTGGGAATGTCCCAGTGTCCATTGCCTCGACAACGGATGGTTGGGAGGTGCCTCTGAATGTATCCCATGCCGCACTGGTACCTCACCAGCGAGTTGATCTCATAGCGTTCACGTTGCCTCCCAAAGGTCCGTGCGTTTTCCACCAGAGGAGGCTGGCTGCATGACACTGAGGAGCACAAGCAACTTCATATGAAATTCGCCGACGACCAGAAGCGTGTAACAACTATTCCTACATATGCCTCATAGCTTAACCCTTTCATGCAACCTGTCACCTGATAACATGATAAGCTGTCCACTGTAGTAATCGCTGTCCATGAAAGGGTTAAAGCAGTTAAAGATGAAGGAGGAGAAAATCAAAGTCTCCGTTCACCAGTGGATCAGTAAAAAAACAAAAAAAAAGTTTGTTGATGTATTATAACATTAATTTGAAAAGCAAGATTGGTCACAAAAATTGTTACAGACTACTATAATTATTGGCCATAAAATGTCAGCATTAATGAAGGTGTACAAAGTGTTACTGATCTTCATCAGATGTTCTGCATCATCTGTCTGTGTGTATGTGACATTTACCTGTGCCCTTCTTGCACGTGAAGGTGAGATGGTAGTTGCACGGAACGTCATTCCACTGGCCGTCCTCATGCCAGATCATCACCACACAGTCCTCCCCGGAAGAGAAGAAACTGTCGGGCTGGCTGGGCCTCCAGTTTACGTAGTGCTGCGATTCAAGAGGGACAGGGCGTGTGAGGCATGACGTCACGCAAAAAGAAAATCTTTTTCGTTGAGCTGTGATTTTACTCGATGGCCACCAGAGGTCGCCTCTGTGCGGAAAGATGTGAAGGTGATTTTTTTTTCTTTCTTTTTTTTTTTTAATTCTGTGAGGGACCCAATGAAACGAGATGTTATAAATTACTTTTTTTTTTTTTTTTTTTTTTTTTTTTTTTAAATTCTGTGGGGGACCCAATGAAACGAGATGTTATAAATTACTTCGAGGAGCATTAAGGGTCATTCCAGTCATGGAAGACCTCCAATTCTGTAATGACTGGAGCGTTTCACACTCAACGAATATGAAATTTAGTCGAATTGAATTTTTTTAGCATGATTCTCAAATGAAACCCTCCATCTCCTGCATGTAAATGACTGTCAGACTTAAGCGTTGACATAACATGACATCACACGGTCTGCATACTTAACATTACAAATGTTACTCCACAGATGTGCTGCTCATTTACACATTTATACAACGTGTACACACAGCTGAAGTGCTGCGGGGTATTCGACGTGCAATTGATGCGACCTGCGGTCTTTCAGCAAATTGTGGGTTCAAACGACCTCTTCAAAGATGAGACCCCCACCATACCTTAGCCCCCCTCCGCGCCCTCGCACAATCCCAGCCCCCGACCCTACTCCAAGTCTTGTCCCTGGGCCGTGCTACTCTGTCATTAGGCTTTACAAACACAGCCACTTCCTGCTGGCCTCGCTGGTAACAAATGTCATCAGCTGCACAACTGTGCACAGCAGGCTGCCATCTCTCTCAAAATAATCAAACAAACTCTGATCAGCCACGCAAGGTTACGCAAGCCAAAACACTTTACTCCCCTTGTTTTAATTGGTGTAAGGGCCACATCAAAAATGATTATTTTGGTTGGTACATTTCTTTATTTACCTTATGTGCAATACAACTTTATGTCCTAATTTTTAAGTACCAATGTTTTAAAATTATTTTATTTTACAACATTTATCTTTACAATATTATTACCTTTACATTAAGGAAAAAGGCTGTGCCTTGTTTGTTTGTTTTTTTGAACCCTGTTATGCTACTGTATTTCAACATTGATCATGACGGAAATGAAAAAGCGTAAACACGTGGCGTATTTTTAGCCGTTGGGTGAGTGTGACCACCCATGCAGACCCCCCATATTGCTTCGTCCATTTCTCTGTCTTTCTGCAGGCGGGCACAGGTGCTGTCCATCTGTGTTGTCTTCCCGCCTGGTGGCCCTTCCACTAGCGAGTGGCTGCCTGCTCTGGGAAGGAGGGAGGGGGGTTGGTGCGACACTAAAACATACCTGTCTACGCCTGCCGGTCTATAACCTCTATCTCCTCCTCCCAAAAGTGTTATTGGTACCCTCATCATCCCTCATTTGAGAAAGGGGATCAATAGGTGGCTTGTGCTAATCTTTAAAGCCTATCTGTTGAATAATCTTTGAAATATGGACATCATTCTGTACAGCACAGATGCACGTGGCAATTACTCACTTTCTTGTCTCGTGACGTATACTCAACAGCTTCCGCGACACCACCAGAATTGGCAAAAGTACTCAGACTTTGTAAGTAAGTAAAAGTACAGATACAACGGGGAAAAAAAAAACTTTGAGATGTACTTACAGGATCTACAACAGTATTAAGTAGAAATGATGTTTTATGTGCTGTCATTTATATACACCCATTTTGAGAAATTGAACTGAATCAATTAATCCGACCAACATTATCTCTCTCTATTTGCGGATGTCTTTTGTACACCGTATTGTACCCATAGAGGTTGAAAAAAGTTATGAGCCTATATTCACAAAGTAAGTCATACAAAGTACTGAGACGGAGATAAGAAGACCTCGATGAGCCGCCGCTCGGCCGATTTTTGTCTTGAGAAAAGAGCAAATACGGATTCATTGCCTTTCCATTCATTACAATGGGGAAAGTTGATTTCAGATATGAGCATTGTCACGGAACAAATTCAATACACCACTCAATCTGTTTTCAAATGTGAAAAATAATGTATTTCTTAGTTACTTCCCACCACTGAACGATCCGGTTTCCATTCGTGTGCTGCTTTGGCGCACCCCGAATACCTTCTCCAAATATTGTTTGGCCCACACTGGGAACACTTTCAACAGCAGAGAACTTCATGAGAAAATCAACAGTGCCCCCTAAAAAAGGGTGTTCCTCTCTACATGAGTGCATCTGTCATTGACATGACGTCCAAATATTTAGACTGTCGCTCTGCCATGTTTGTTGAGGGGGAGAAAAGAACTGCGTGAGGGAATAACCCATCTTACCGTGGGGCTCCCATCAGTCCAGCGGAAGTCACTATCAAACATTTTATCATTCAGGCCAATCCACTGGTAATCCTGTCCGAGACCTACCAAACAAAACAGACAACAGATTCCATTTCTCTCTCTCATATCAGGACTGCTTATGAACAAAACACGAGAGGCAGAAAGCAAAATCATTCCTGAATGTACATTTTCATATTTGACTGACTTCTAATGCTTACGGTTGACAAAAATTTGCTCCGCATAGGAAAGGATGCTCGTCAGGTGAGCCCCTTGTATCCGGCAATCTCTCTCTGCTGTATCCCAGTTTCTTCTACTTGGGAAATATTTGTAGCACTGGCCGTGAAACTTGTGCCAGCCATACGCACACGTCTCTGTATCTGCAAGGAAAGAAAACAAAAAGGGATTGAGGGATACACAAGTACAGTATTTGAGTCACTCCGATCCATGCAAGTGTCTCATTGACTTCAACCTATGTTCACGCCTGACCCTTGAGGCTTTCTGTATCTCAAGTTAGTACTAGATCATCAAGATGGTAGTTGGATAGTTCCTCTAGAAGCATGTTAACAGCTCTAGGAGGTATGCAAATGTGAGGTCATGTGACCAAAGGTTTGAGAGTTTGCCCATCCTAGAGTGTCAACACGGTACTCTTAATTTATATCGCACTGATGGTGATCCTTATGTCTAAATATTCACAACAAAATCCACTCTGTTAGTTTAACGGCTTTCATTTCAGTGCAATTCAAGAAGGATACAAAGGCAAATATCCCCCTGGGCCGCTCTTTGAGCAAGCACTTCTAAGAGACGGCAGCTGCATAGAGTACACAATCTCACTGATGAGTGATCCCTTGCAAAATGAATGGCGGAGAGTGCCTGCACGCTAATTCCAAATTTCTGTTCAAGTGATTCTTCTTTTTAAATGGATGAAAAGCTGGACATGATGCAAAAGACTCTAACAAATCAATTTTTCATGAATACAGTTGAATCTCAGGTCATTGTTTCAATCAGTGACATAATTTTTCCCATTAAAATGAATAAACCAACGTCCGTCCCACAACCAAGTCTCCTTCGCAAACATCTGGAAAGGAACACATTGTTCGGCCCTGTGTCGACGAGCCTCGATACGCCCCCTAGTCACTGCAACAATCTTCAGGGCTTCCTAATAAGACAATCACTTGGACTTTTCACTTTCTTCTGAGTCATACTGTGGGCCATGTTAACAGCAAAAAAATGTTAACAGCAAAAAAATGCGTGAGAGAAATCTTTAATACTTCCACGTGGATGCTACGTCGCACAGTTTGTGTACTGGAGCAATGTTTGTCTGAAATTTGTGTTCATACACCAATTTGGTTAAGAACAGGGGCGTTTCATGAACTGAGGTTCCACTGTATCGGTGTCTTTATTTAAAATGTCCTTGAATATATTCAAAATAATAAAGACATGCAATGTTTTGTTTTGTCCCCAGAATGTCACGTAAAAAAAATGTGTTGAGCAAAAACATACCCTTCTCACAAAACAGCCCAGAGTAGCTCGGGAGGCAGAGACAAGCGAAGGAAGCCACCCCATCAACACATGTACCTCCATTGCGGCAAGGGTTGGACTGGCATTCATCAATGTCTAAACAGACAGATTTATTATTTAGAAACCACAAAACTCCTCAAAAGTTTTTTTATTTTTTTTTTTACACAAAGAGATATTTTTAAGACAGTTTCCTACCTGTTTCACAGTGATCACCATCATAGCCCGGTGCACAGTTGCAGATTCGGATGCTGCCACTCATGAAGCAAGATCCTCCATTCAAACAAATGTTTTCGAGACACGATTCAATTACTGAAAAAAAAATAGAAATTCCATTTGTTCAAAATGAGTCTATTTCATTGTATTTGTTCATAAACATACCAAAATATGTCAGAAACCTACCGTAAATGACAACAGTCTCTCCTTCAATGGTGTCGCCCAGGTCACGTGCTGGGTCATGTGTTTCTCCTTCAGTGAGCAATGGAGGTGGAGTTATGTCACTGTCGAGTTTGTGATCCTTGCCGGAAAGCGGTTGGGTGGGGTCCACTGATGCATTCTGGCTTTGTGTTTCAGCTGGTGTCATCTTTGTGAACTCTTGGACTTGTGGCTTTACCGTGGATTGTTCTATCTTATCTGCACCCTCCTCTATGCCAACGCTATGAACGGTCGTTGACTCCACCTTAGATGCAGTGGTGGTAAAATCTACCTTGAAGACTGTCTGGATATCATTTGATCCTGGGTATGTTGTGGTGATAAAGTTTCCGGACAATGCAGAAGTGACTGTTTCTCTTCCGATACTGTTCAGTGAGTCTGAAGGCTGACTGTCAGCAGCTTTCCTAGTAGTGTACATTGTTGTTTCTGTTGATTTTATACTTTCAGTGTCTTCTGGAATACTCTCTACTATGTTGGGATTTAATTCCTCATAGTCTGGCGTCTCTTCAGTTAGGTCTTCATAAACGCTGTCAGGTGGAGACTGTGTTACTCGGACATCTGTTTCTGGAGGTGATTCAGTCATTTCACCACTTGAAACTAGTTCCTCTGTAAGGTCAATTGTAGCTAAAGCCACCGTGGTGGACACAGGCTCAGCGACTGAAGGGGCAATGGTTGTTAATTCCTCAAACTGTCTTGCAGACGTGAGACTGGTCGGTGATACATCTTCCGAGGAGTAATCAGTCTGAGGGCGATTCGTGATAGCAATCTCTGACTGGGCTGGCTCCAATGATTCTCGGGGGGGTGTTGGGTGTTTTGGAGGGGCAAAGGTTGTGACAAACTGCACCAAAATACTTTCCTTTGAAGGTAGTGATCCAAAAGGGACTTCTGAAATGTGTTCTTCTGGTTTCGTTGTAGCCACCACTTGGTAGTTGGTCGTGCTCTCTCCAGTATGCGTTGTTATGTCAATAAATTGAGTCTCCTTATTCTCAACATCTGTCGATACTGACTCAGTAGAAATTTGGGACATGCCAGGGGACAGGGTTGAGTAATCATCTGTCATTGGAGTATTAGTAGATGTAGAACCAGATGTTTCTTCATAGAAAGATGACTCTGTCTGAGGTGATGCTGAACTACCCAAGTCTGCATCGTTGATGCTTGGTATTGTAACCCCTGAACCGTCTTCTTCTGTTGAGGTGATGAAACTTGTCTCTGTTGACACAGAAGCTTCCTCACTGTCTGAGGAACTTTCACCAGCTGTATCTGGTGCCGCTGTAGTTGAAGTCACAGTTTCATCAGAGGATACTTGTTCGGTAGCATTTAAAATGGCATCTACTGGTGGACTTAATGAAGATGTGGTACTTTCTGGTTGCACTGAAGCTGATTCAGTTATTCCACGTGGGCTGTGCTCACTTGAGCTTTCAGGAGAGCTTTCAAATTTCATCCAAGTAGTTTCTTCCTCTGGTTTTGCAGATGAACTAGATTGTGAAGTTGTATCAGGTGAGATTATTACATTAGTCGGTGAGGGCTCAAATGTATTATATTCCACTTCAGCATGAGTAAGCATGCCACTTGGGTCCAAGTACTGACTTGACCAGTCAATGGGAAACATTGTAGTTGTAGAAAGTGAGTCTTTGGTAAATGAAGATGTGACATGGTCCACGGTGCTCTCATCCTGTGATGGGCTTAATGTTATTCTGTCAGAGGAATGTGAAACAGTTCCCGTTTCATGTTGCATTGTGGTTACATTATTTGTTTCCTGCTCTTGGGACCTTATGGCTTTATCTGTGCTCAAAAGAGTGGATAGTGTAGAAGTATTTCTATGATCAAATGTTACTATGATTGGCGAAGCGGTTGTGTCATCTGAGATCTCGTCAGCGGAGCCTTCCGTAGCTATAGGATATAATGATGTTGTGAGGAGCGTCTTAGGAGTAGCAGTTGTTGCATGTTCTGTTACATGAATGTGTTCATGTGATTGTGTCTTAGAAAGATCCATGAAGGAAGTAGCAGTTGCCTTCTCAGTGCTGTAGAGACTTGAAGCATCAGTTGATAGAAGTATTTCAGCCTCCCCACTACCAGGCTCCGGCAACACGTCTAGATGTGATATTGTTTTCGGCTTCACTGTTGAAACTGTCAGCCTTTCATAACTTGAGGTGCCAGGAACATCAGGTGCCAAACTGTGCATTGGTTTCACAGTACTGTAGAAAGATGGCCAAATGCTTGTTGTTTTTCTGCCATTGTCAGCTCCACTAATAATTTCAGACTTCTTAGTGCTGAACAATGAAGAAGCTGAGAGTGTTACTACATCGGATGCTGTCCATCCAGAGGATGAATCTCTTGTTGCTGTGGTTTTAGTACTGAAGACATTGTCTCCTCCAGAGCCTTCGTCTGAGTCATATATACTTGACTCTTGGTCAGATACTTGACTGGTAGGTGTAGACATCGTCGCATGTTGTTTAACAGTGACTGAATGTATCGAAATTTTTGAGGGTATAGGTGACGTTTCAACAGTCCCACTTGTGGCTGTGATGGCTGTGGGCGATGAGGTTAAGACCGTATCCTCAGGTGTTAAATCCTCATCGAGGACACCACTTCCTTGCTCAGTTATGTAAATCTCATCGCTAGCCTTGTCTGGGGATTGTGTTGATAATATAAATTCCTGTGTGGACTGCCTGCTCGGTTGAGTTAACAAATCATCTGTGGTCTTGTCCAGTTTTGTCTCATCAGTTTTACCAATCGCTACATCTCCACCTGATCCATCTGAACTTATCTCTAAATCAACCTCTTCAGGTGGAAGCCCAGAGCTCTCCATGTCACCATAAGCGGAAGATTCTTTTGAAGGAAACAGAGAGTGACTTGACACTTCCATGGGTTGAGTCGCTTCAATTATACGAGGATTTGATGAAATAGCAAACAAACTATCCCCCAAACTTTCTCCTGTAACTGTAACTAATGGTGTAATGGTGGTTTTGGACAAGATTACCTGTTCTACAGATGATTCTTCTTTTGGTGTTACTGGGGATAAATCAGTTGTAACAGCAGATGTGACATCTCCTAAGCTTCCAACATTTTGACTCTCTGCATTGCGACTTTGTTCTGTTGTAGCCGGTAAAGAGGATGTGCTTCGAGCTTCAATGGGTGTCATTGATGTAGTTTTCTTAGTACTAAACAGAGAAGACACTGAAGTCACTTGGGGTTTTGAAACAGTGGTAGGATTGACAGATTCTGAAAGAACATGAATTGCTGCCTCTTCTGTATGAGCCTCGGTGGAAGGGTTTAGCCCTGCAAAGGTTGAAAATGGTTTCTTTGTGCTAAACATGGTTGAGACGGGATCCGATGGGACATCATCTGAACCTGCATCAATTGTGGGAAATGTCGCACGAGTAGTAGGAGCAATAGTTTTCCTTGAGGCTGAATTCATGTCCGTGCTGATGCTGTGTTTTGAAGCTGCTGGGGACTCTGTGTTGGCAAGTGTAAAGCCTGCCAAAGCAGAAGTTAGGTCTCCAGAGCCCTCCTGAATGTTGATAACTTCTCCATCGGAACCTGTTGTACTTGGAAGTGAAATAGTTGTCGTTGCAGCTTTCATTGGGCTGTATAAAGATGTTGATGAGACAGGGTGAGATGTAGGCTCCTCAGTGAATGTCCTATCAGCAGTGGGCAACATCACTGTGACCATGTTTTTGTCTGTGTTCTTTTGTGTAACGGGTGAAATTGGAGTATCAGTGCTATAATGAGAATAATCTTTGCCATTTCCTTCCATTGAATATGATGCTGTTGATAGTGTTGGTGTTTTTGTACTAAACATTGAAGAGATGTTTTCAGATGTTTTCCCTGTGACTTTTGTCGAGGGGTTTTGATCAATAAGTTCTGTGTCATCAATTATTTGAATGGAAGGCTTAAGAGAAGCTGGAGATTTTGTAGACATCTCCTGAGAGGTGCCAATCACAACAGCTGAGTGGCTGCTATGTTTCACTGTATTATCTGTCATTGACAGAAACGGTAAACTAGAAGACTCTTCTGTTAAAATTTCAGTTGTTTGTCCATTTGAGCTGTCCTGTTCTGAAATAATGATCGCAGAACCTGCATCAAATTCATTTATGATTGGAATAGCTGAAGTGCTCGGTAGTATTTTAGTTTGTGTGTTTATGGACTGTGCAGCTGTTGTAGTAGTGATTCCTGGGAATGTAGCTTGGCCATGGAGATTGGAAGTAGGTGTTGCTTCAGTAAAGCCTTTTACTTGACCAGAAGAAGTGAGCAAATCTGACTCTGGTGATTGTTTCTCAGGGCTCAGGGAAGACGCAGAGCTCATAATTGTAATTGTTTCTTCAATGGCTACATTCATGTTGCTCTTGTCATTTGCAGTTGATACGGCAGATGTTGCCTCAAATTCAGGCATCTCAGTGTTGGAGACAGAAGATGTCTTTGCAAATATGTCTTGGGTTTGATAACCCGACCCTTCGAGATGATCAGGGGATGGTTTTGTCCCAATTGTGAACATCACTCCATCAGTCTTGGCTGTAGTCACATAGTTTTGTATTTCCGGAGACACTGAAGTAGGTTCATTAGTACGATGGAAGGATGACTGTGTTCCTGATACTGTTGAGACTTGACTGTTTTGAGATTCTTGTGATGTTGTCATTGCTGGTGTCTCTGTGCTGACCATTGAGGAAACAGTTGGTCTTGCTGGCTCCTTCATAAATCCATCTGAACTGTCTCCAGAACTCTCAAAATCTGAGGTAGTGGCATATGGTAAGATTCCAAGTTTGATGGTTGAGCCGATGTGGGAAGGAATAGCCTGAACCAGCATGGTGTCATTGCTAATTCCATCATCATCGACGTCCTCGATGTCCAAATGAGCAGACGATACAGTTGGAGTTGCTTTCTCCATACTGAAGAAGGGCGATGCAACAGTAACAGATGTCTTTGAAATGTCACTAGTTGAATCACCATCTGATGTATTAACTCCAGATGCAAGTGGAGATGTGATTTTCGGTTCTCTGGTTAACCCGTCACTGTCGTCTCCAGAACTCTCAAAGTCTGGTGTGGTAACTGAAAACAACCTCTTTTCATAACTTTCTGTTGTTTTACTTGACACTGGCTCAAGGGGACTAGTACTGTACAAAGAATCAGCTTTGGTAAAAGTCTCTTTTTCCTGGAGTGGCAGTTGTGTTGGTCTTTCTGTGCGAAGCACTGATATAGCCGTCTGAGATGAAAGAACCATTTGGGTCATTTTAGTAATTTGTTCACCTGAGCTCTCTTCTTCAATATCTGTTGAAGTGGGAATAGTCTCTGGTATTAATGATGAGTCCTCACTTTTTATGACATGTACATGGGGTTCAGAAGGTGTTTCATGTGATACTGTCATTGATGAGGTGCCAGTGCTAAACACTGACGATGAGGAAGTTGTTGCTGAAATAAATGACTTTCCAGTCTGATCAACGAGAGTGACTGTGCCATCAATGGTACTGACTGAAATTTTTGTTTCAGGTGTCATATTTGCTCCAAGGACGGACGTAGATAGGACCATAGGTTCTGCTGTTGGTGCTTCAGTACTGTGGAGGGATGACACAGCAATGGAGGCGTTTGAGAAAGTATTAGTTTCGTTTCCAAATGATACGGTCGCCGCTGATGTATCTGTACGAGACACTGAATCAATAGTTCCAGTAAAGTCCTCAATGCTATCCCCAGATCCATCTGTGTTTGTGACAGTGAAGAATGATGACATTGCAGGTTGGATGGTTGATTCACTCAGAGAAAGAAAAGAACCAGAACCTTCATTTAAAGTTGTGCTGAATAATGACAATGATTCAGTTTCAGGTGTTATACTTGATCCAATAACTGATGAAATGGACTCAGTGCTTACATCATAATTCTCAACATTCGTGACCGTAAGTGGACTAGTCGGAGGTTCTGTTAGTGCCTCAGTGATGGACAGAGTAGCAGTAGTAATGGAAGATGTTTGAATGAAAATGTCTTCGGTTTGGTCACCTGAACCATCTTGATCTACTGGCACTTGAACAGAAGTTGTAATGTGATGAGATATTGGAGTCATTTTCGTAGTACTATACAGGGATGATGTGGCAGTACTTGATTTTTCATCCTGTGTGACATCCTTATCTGATGCTGTGACAGCTGGTGTCTCTGTACTAAACAGTGAAGACACAGTGGTTGTTTTGACTTTTGACTCTCCAGGAAACTCATTGATGGAGTCTCCAGAACTTTCAATGTCTATTGACATTCCAGGCATCATGGTTGTTCCATGTAAAGAAGGTAAGGACTCAACTAGCACACCGCCCATAATTCCATCATCAATATCTCTAAAATAATCTGTTTCGGGAGTGATGCTAGGTTTATTGACCGATGGATTTAGTTCAGTGCTAACAATTTCAATTGGAATGTCTGGAAGAGTTGATAATCTCACAGGAGATTCTGCAGGTGATGCCGCAGTAATATTAAGAGGAGATTCGGTGTTGGGAGAAGATGTCTGATGGAGCAAGTTTTGAGTCTGTTCACCTGAACCATCTTGATCGACTGGGGTCAGAGTCAAAACTTCCTTACTCGTAGCTGAACTTAATGATGTTTGCATTTCAGGATGCACTTGAGTTGTTTTTTCAGTACTATAGAGGGATGAAGCAGTCGTTAAGGGTTTCTTTGAACTGTGTTGTATCCCATCTTCTTGCGATGTCGCTCTTGGTGTTTTTGTGCTAAACATTGAGGAAACAGAAGTTGGTGTGATTTCTGACGCTCCACTGAAAACATCAGCGCCATCTCCAGAACTTTCTGTAAGTGTGGTAGAAGAGAATAATGCCTCTTCACTTCTCATGGTTGGGCCACTGATGGTTGGTATTGGATTGGTCATGTTGGACACCAGAGAAACTGATGGTTTTCCTGTAATTGCTGTAATGCCTGGTTCATGGCTTTCTGTTGTTTGTTTGGTGCTCAACAACAAGGAAGTGTTTGGAGATGCTGGCAGTTTTTGTGACACTTCAGTCTTTTGTTCGCCTGAACCCTCTTCCTGATTTTCTGGAAAAGATCCATTCTTTTCAGGCATAAGTGATGAGTCCTCCATCTCACTTGTTACATGTGATGTTGTCACTACTGGAGTATTAGTGCTAAATGATGAATAGGAAATAGTTGTTGAAATAAAAGACTCCCCAGTGAGCTCATCTCCAGAACCTTCGGAAAAGGTGCTGCTGATTGATGATGATTCTGTTTTAGGTGTCATAGTTGAACCAATGACAGATGGAATGGATTTTGTGCTGAAGTTTATATCTTTAATATCTGGAGCATCTTGATCTGCTAGGCTCATAAAAGAAGTTGAACCTGTTGTCCATACCACTTTATCTGTCCCAGCCATATCTGATGATGTTTGAATTTCATGAGACCTTGAAGTTGATGCTTTCACTGCTGGCGCCTCTGTACTATACATGGATGAAACAGTAGGTGTTGGGATTTTTGAACCTCCAATAGCGGCGTCTGTGAGGCCTCCAGAATTCTTCATGCTTGCTTGGTGTACTTGGGTGTTAGTGCTAATTATCGAGATGGAAGTCGTCGGTGACATGAACGAGTCTCGAGTGAGCTCGATGGCCATGTCTCCAGATGATGATTCAGGTTCAGGTGTCAAGCTTGACCCACTGACAGATAGACTGGACTCAGTGTTTGCAACCACGACCTTAACTTCTTCGGTGGTAGATGTTAGAATTGGAGATTCGGCAGTAGATACGTCTGTACTATCGAGATCCGATGCGGCAGTCACAATGTCGCTCTTGGTGTTTTTGTGCTAAACATTGAGGAAACAGAAGTTGGTGTGATTTCTGACGCTCCACTGAAAACATCAGCGCCATCTCCAGAACTTTCTGTAAGTGTGGTAGAAGAGAATAATGCCTCTTCACTTCTCATGGTTGGGCCACTGATGGTTGGTATTGGATTGGTCATGTTGGACACCAGAGAAACTGATGGTTTTCCTGTAATTGCTGTAATGCCTGGTTCATGGCTTTCTGTTGTTTGTTTGGTGCTCAACAACAAGGAAGTGTTTGGAGATGCTGGCAGTTTTTGTGACACTTCAGTCTTTTGTTCGCCTGAACCCTCTTCCTGATTTTCTGGAAAAGATCCATTCTTTTCAGGCATAAGTGATGAGTCCTCCATCTCACTTGTTACATGTGATGTTGTCACTACTGGAGTATTAGTGCTAAATGATGAATAGGAAATAGTTGTTGAAATAAAAGACTCCCCAGTGAGCTCATCTCCAGAACCTTCGGAAAAGGTGCTGCTGATTGATGATGATTCTGTTTTAGGTGTCATAGTTGAACCAATGACAGATGGAATGGATTTTGTGCTGAAGTTTATATCTTTAATATCTGGAGCATCTTGATCTGCTAGGCTCATAAAAGAAGTTGAACCTGTTGTCCATACCACTTTATCTGTCCCAGCCATATCTGATGATGTTTGAATTTCATGAGACCTTGAAGTTGATGCTTTCACTGCTGGCGCCTCTGTACTATACATGGATGAAACAGTAGGTGTTGGGATTTTTGAACCTCCAATAGCGGCGTCTGTTAGGCCTCCAGAATTCTTCGTGCTTGCTTGGTGTACTTGGGTGTTAGTGCTAATTATCGAGATGGAAGTCGTCGGTGACATGAACGAGTCTCGAGTGAGCTCGATGGCCATGTCTCCAGATGATGATTCAGGTTCAGGTGTCAAGCTTGACCCACTGACAGATAGACTGGACTCAGTGTTTGCAACCACGACCTTAACTTCTTCGGTGGTAGATGTTAGAATTGGAGATTCGGCAGTAGATACGTCTGTACTATCGAGAGCCGATGCGGCAGTCACAGATGATGTCAGAATGATCATGTCCGGATTTTGGTCACCTGAACCATCTTGAACTTCCTCGGCATGAACTGTACTTAATGGTTGCATTTCAAGATATATTGGGTTTTGTTTCTCAGTGTGATAAACGGATGCTGCAGTAGTATCAGATGCCCTCGAAATGACACTTGTTTCACTTCCTTGTGAGGCTGTTGTTGCTGGCGTGTCCGTACTAAACTTTGAAGAGATAGCAGTTGTTATGATATGTGACTCTTCAGCAAACTCATCCGTGTCATCAGCTGACCCCTCTTTGCTAAAGAATAATGAACCTGTTCCAGTTGCGATGGTTGATAGACTCAATGAAGGAACAGACTCAACCATCATCGTCTCACTACTTATAATGTCATCATAAATATCAGCAGAACTAGAGGATATACTTGGAAGTACTGAAGCCTCAGTGCTGTCAATAGAAAGTGTACTTGGTGTGGAATTAAATGTAGAGGATGGCATTGACCTTAGATTGATGTCAGACGAAATTGTTGATGCCACTTGTACTACGAATGGTTTTGACATTCCTTCCGTAATGCTGCTCTTTGTACTTGTTTTCTCATCTGTATCATGAGACAAGGGAATGTATACAGTCTGGAGAGAAGCCTGGGAGGAATCTTCAGCAGCTGGTGGGGCAGATGTGCTTTTTCTTTCTATTGTTGGGTAAACTATGTTTCTGTCTGTGTGAAGATTTGTTGCCAAAGTAAAAAGGGATGGATCCTTTGCCTTGTCTGTTTGAGTCACTTGTGAGTCACTCCTCATCGATGTGGGAGCGTCGCTTGACTTGTCTCCCTGTTTCTGTGCAGTTGTTGTGATGACAGCGGAGGTTACCTTATCTGACAAGGTTATTTGGCTGTCCTCTGATATTTCGGTCATATGTGCCTCAGATGGTGATGGTGTCGGAAAGAAATGAGCAGAAGTAGCTGCAACCAACATCCCGTATGTGGTTTCGGAGCTGGCTTTTTGTGTGGTTTTAAATGATGTGATGTCACCCACAATTGCAGTTGGAGCAGAAGTTTTGTCTTTCTGTGTGGAGGCTTCTTCACGTCCAGGAAAAATTGGAGGGGGTTTTGTTTCAATTGCTGGGATAATATCAGAGCCAGGGTCATCTGGGTTCAGTTTTTCTGTGCTTGAGAGGAACCCTTCTTTCAATTCAGTGACGCTATCTCCAGAGAGGTTGGCCCGTCCATAATCAATCTGTGTAGTTGTTTCTACATTTCCTCTTAAATTTTTCACATTTGTCACAATTTGCGTACCTTTGGCTTCTTTGTCCTCTGGACTCAATGGGTCATGTGTTATTTCATGTTTTCCATTAATAAAACTAACAATTGGGGTGGTAGTTACAGTGGTAGGGGACAAGTCTGGGTGGCCGCTCTGGAGGATGGGCTCACCATCTACCATTGAGCTGATGGAAGGGTTAAGCAAGACTGGAGACTGAGAGTTCTGTGACTGAAGGATCTGGGCATCTGCAAAAAAAGAAAAGAAAAGATTGAAAAAAAAGTGCGATGAAATATTTTATATGAATAAAACAAAACAGTTCCAACGTAAACCAAACCACCAAACAAGATTCACCATATTCGATAATATATATATATATATATA